AAATAGAGCACTAATATAAGCGACAAACAGTAAGATGTGAGGACTGGTTTCTAGTCTGCCCACAAAACTTTCCCCGGTTGAGTATAACTCCTCTTCAGCATTTCATTTGTTTAATCTCTTTTAAAAGGGCAAATTCAGCTCAGTTACACTGGTGTAAATTTGTAAGAACTACAATGAAGTCAATTGAGCTGATGAAATCAATGGATTTCCTCCGGATTTACACCAACTGAGCAGAATATCTTCTTCTTTTTCTGCCTCAGTCACAAATTAAAATACTCCTACTTTGGTATAATAAATTTTACCCATAGTCTACTTTCCTACATCAGACACTTTTTTTTTTTTTTTTCATTTCTCTGATGGGCATTTCCAGTCATCCAGCACTTCATCTGAATCTTTCAGATTCCTTTTCTACCAGTCATCTTCTGGGCTTTTAACACCCAAACTTCTTAGTAGCAATAAGCACACAGACATAATATCATTTTGCAGGAGCACACCTGGATTAATTCTTTTCTCTTTCTGAAGACACTGCTGATGTTTCATAGATGATGATATCCTTGCATTTTTAGGGGAATGGGAAACCTTGGCTTTGTGCTAAGGAATTTTTTAATGTCTCAAATATCGGAAGGGTAGCCGTGTCAGTCTGGATCTGTAAAAGTAGCAAAGAGTTCTGTGGCACCTTATAGACTAACAGACGTATTGGAGCATAAGCTTTCGTGGGTGAATACCCACTTTGTCGGATGCATGTAGTGGAAATTTCCAGAAGCAGGTATAAATATGCAAGCAAGAATCAGGATAGGTGTCTCAAGACATTTAAAAATTATTTTACTTCCTGCCCCATCACTGCACTTCCTCCGAGGAGGAAGGGGTGGGGCTAACTGCATCCAACAGGGTGAATTTCCCCTGTATTCAGCCTCCCAGTGCCTCTCACTCTATTGCCTCTGGTTAAAACCAGAAATACCCCCTCTAGTGCTACCTGTTAAGAAGAGTCTGACATTTCCATTATAAACTCCTAATTCTGTCAGGTTTCAGAGTAACAGCTGTGTTAGTCTGTATTCGCAAAAAGAAAAGGAGTACTTGTGGCACCTTAGAGACTAACCAATTTATTTGAGCATAAGCTTTCGTGAGCTACAGCTCACTTCATTGGATGCATACTGTGGAAAGTTTAGAAGATCTTATTATATACACACAAAGCATGAAAAAATACCTCCTCCCACCCCACTCTCCTGCTGGTAATAGCTTATCTAAAGTGATCACTCTCCTTACAATGTGTATGATAACCAAGTTGGGCCATTTCCAGCACAAATCCAGGTTTTCTCAACCCCCCCCACACACAAACTCACTCTCCTGCTGGTAATAGCTAATCTAAAGTGACCACTCTCCTTACAATGTGTATGATAATCAAGGTGGGCCATTTCCAACACAAATCCAGGTTTTCTCACCCCCCCCCACACACACAAACTCACTCTCCTGCTGGTAATAGCTTATCTAAAGTGACCACTCTCCTTACATTGTGTATGATAATCAAAAAGTGGGCCATTTCCAGCACAAATCCAGGGTTTAACAAGAACGTCTGAGGGGGGAGGGGGAGAGGTAGGAAAAAACAAGGGGAAATAGGCTACCTTGCATAATGACTAAGCCACTCCCAGTCTCTATTCAAGCCTAAGTTAATTGTATCCACTTTGCAAATGAATTCCAATTCAGCAGTTTCTCGCTGGAGTCTGGATTTGAAGTTTTTTTGTTCTAAAATAGCAACTTTCATGTCTGTAATCGCGTGACCAGAGAGATTGAAGTGTTCTCCGACTGGTTTATGAATGTTATAATTCTTGACATCTGATTTGTGTCCATTTACTCTTTTACGTAGAGACTGTCCAGTTTGACCAATGTACATGGCAGAGGGGCATTGCTGGCACATGATGGCCTATATCACATTGGTGGATGTGCAGGTGAACGAGCCTCTGATAGTGTGAGAGATGTTATTAGGCCCTGTGATGGTGTCCCCTGAATAGATATGTGGGCACAGTTGGCAATGGGCTTTGTTGCAAGGATAGGTTCCTGGGTTAGTGGTTCTGTTGTGTGGTATGTGGTTGCTGGTGAGTATTTGCTTCAGGTTGGGGGGCTGTCTGTAGGCAAGGTCTGGCCTGTCTCCCAAGATTTGTGAGAGTGTTGGGTCATCCTTCAGGATAGGTTGTAGATCCTTAATAATGCGTTGGAGGGGTTTTAGTTGGGGGCTGAAGGTGACGGCTAGTGGCTACATTGTAAGGAGAGTGGTCACTTTAGATAAGCTATTACCAGCAGGAGAGTGAGTTTGTGGGGGGAGAGCTGAGAAAACCTGGATTTGTGCTGGAAATGGCCCAACTTGATTATCATACACATTGTAAGGAGAGTGATCACTTTAGATAAGCTATTACCAGCAGGAGAGTGGGGTGGGAGGAGGTATTTTTTCATGCTTTGTGTGTATATAATAAGATCTTCTAAACTTTCCACAGTGTGCATCCAATGAAGTGAGCTGTAGCTCACGAAAGCTTATGCTCAAATAAATTGGTTAGTCTCTAAGGTGCCACAAGTACTCCTTTCTTTTTCCTAATGCTGTGGTATTTATAACAACTCTATCATTTAATTGAAGGCTCAAATTGGCCCAGTAAAGTCCCAACTTGGAGCAACTGTGTTTGCAACATTAAAAAATGTATGCAACAATATAACACATTTAAAATACACATTTAAAATAAAATAAAATAAATTAAAATGACATAAACCCAGGGACAAGATATAAGGCTCACAAAGAGCTAGATATAAAGGCTTACAAAAGTGAGGGAAGGTTAAATTCTGTTTTCAATCACTGTTTTGACATCACTGAATATAATTAAAGACAAAATCTGGCCCAGTCTTTTTAGTGAGACAGAGTTTAAAATTAAATAATGGGTTGAATTTGTGCATGGAGTTATTTCTGGGATGAATTTGACTCCTTTCCCTACACTTTACATATTATTTATAATTGTTACAATAAATCTTTAAAATAAAATCTTAAAGGGACATAACCACTAAAAGCATAATGAAATGGTGGAAAAAGAAACATCTTTCAAATTTTGTGTGGTGTTTGCAACATGGTTCCCAGATTATCTACTTTTATGGATGTGTCATATCCTAAGTGGTTGACTGTTGAAATGTTCTGCAGTAAAGCAAGTCAAAGCGAGTAAAAGGCTTGAGTTAGGTCTGTGTAAAAATTTTGGTATGAAAACCCAAACAATACAAAACTCACCATGTTTGATGTTTGGTAAAATTCTGTGGCCTGATGGTGTTCCCATAGAAGTCAATGAGAGTTTTGTCGTTGAGTTCAATTGGTGTATGATTGTACGTGTGAAAGGTAGCACAGGGTTTTCTAAAGGTTCTATTACATTTTAGTAACCACGAATGATTTATGATTTTTCATAATCTTAAATTGGCCAAGTTTCACTTTGAGTCAAAAACTCAGAGCAGAACTTGGGGTTCAAACTAACATGAACTGAAACTGATGAAAAGATTCAAATGACTACACTGTGCCCCAGAAATGAATACTATTGAGTTTCACGCAGCTTTGGTTAAAATGTCATCTTTGGCTCACCATACCATGCCTAAATATCAGGGTAGTGGCATCACATTCTAGAATTCTTCAGTTTTGGGTGCAAAACCTTATTTAAACACAGAAAGTTGCACTTGTAACAAAGTGTACAAGCAGATCTTTAAAAAATGGGTTTTGTGTCCTTTTGTGTTTCTTTATGATGTGGCAAGAAGGACTGAAATGTACATTTGTTTGTTGCTTCCATTTGCTTTATTTTTTTCAATTGTAAAGGCTTGTTTGACTGGAGGACTTTCTCCGGCCCCACCCCAGAACCCACACCCGCAGCTGAAACCCTCACCCCAACCCCCTGGCCCAGCCCGGAGCCCCCTCCTGCATCCCAGTCCTCTCCGCCCCAGCCCTGAGCCCCTGCTGCACCAAAACTCCCTCCCAGAGCCTGCACCCATCCTGCACACTGAACCCCTCGGCTCCAGCCCAGAGTCCTCTCCTTCACTCTAAACCCTCACCCTGGCCCCACACCAGAGCCCGCACTCTAGCCACAGCCCTCACCCCCTCCCGCACCTCAATCCCCTTCCCCAGCCGGGAGCTCCCTCCCACACCCTGAACCCCTCATTTCTGGCCACACCCCAGAGCCTGAACCCCCAGCACACAGCCCATTCCCCCTGCCACACCCCAACCCCCTGCCTCAGTCCAGAATCTCCTTCCACATGCCAAACTCCTTGGCCTCACCCCCCCAGCCTGGATCCCCCTCCTGCACTCAAAACCCCTCATCCCCAGCCCTACCCCTGAGCCTGCACACCCAGCCAGAGCCCTCACCCCCTCCCACACCCCAACCCTCTGCCTGGTGAAACTGAGCAAGTGAATGAGAGTGGGGGAGAACAAGTGACATAGGGAGGCAGGATGGAGTCGGGGGGCAGGTCCTTGGAGAAGGGGTGGGGAAAGGGCAGGGCCTTGGGGAAGGGGCAGAACAGGGGTGGGGCAAGGGTATTTGGTTTTCTGCAATCAGAAAGTCGGCAACCCTATTCAAAATAGACCAAACAACATTGTTCTGGAAACCCTAGTGATCTTTTACAGTTATAAATTAAGACAGCAAATTGTCTGCTGGAGGTGGATCTCAGTGCAGGTTTCAACATATTATTTCCTGAAGGCATTGCTTTTGCATTATAGTGGCATCCATATTGCTACATAGATGCAGGGTACAAACAGCTAATATTCATGGTCCTGTGTGCAGTGTTATCTTATATTTTTCCAGAGGAGTCTACACTCAGGCATCTTACATTTTTGAATATAGGTTGTCATCCTCAGGATAGATTTATTCATACTTCACAGTTTTAACCATGTCTCTGCTTATTCTAACCCGTAGTACAGGCTTCACTGTGCGGTAACTAAATACAATAAATATGGAGTTCAATGTCAGATTCCATTCTTATGTTATTTTTAATTTTAGCCTGGATGTGTAAACACTACTGAAGTGGATATTAAAAAGTCTTCAAGAATGAAAAATCCTCACAAAACCAGAAAGGTAAGTACAGTGTTTGGATAGAAAGTGATATATTTCCAGAGTTGTTTATTTAATATGACTGAAATATGTAAATCCTTTTTTTCCTTTCTTTGCATTGAAAAAATACATCAAAAATTCCATAGCCTGTTGTGACTTGAAACTACTAATTAGTAAGCCATTTACTAAAAATTAAAACAGATCTACTTTTTCTTTAGGAAAGGAGTACATGTGGCACCTTAGAGACTAACAAATTTATTTGAGCATAAGCTTTCGTGAGCTACAGCTCACTTCATCGGATGCATTCAGTGGAAAATACAGTGGGGAGATTTAAATACATAGAGAACATGAAACAATGGGTGTTACCATACACACTGTAAGGAGAGTGATCAGGTAAGGTGAGCTATTAGCAGGAGAGCGGGGATGCGGGGGAGCCTTTTGTAGTGATAATCAAGGTGGGCCATTTCCAGCAGTTGACAAGAATATGTGAGGAAAAGTAGGGGGAAAAATAAACATGGGGAAATAGTTTTACTTTGTGTAATGACCCATCCACACCCAGTCTTTATTCAAGCCTAAGTTAATTGTATCCAGTTCGCAAATTAATTCCAATTCAGCAGTCTCTCCTTGGAGTCTGTTTGAAGTTTTTTTGTTGAAGAATTGTCACTTTTAGGTCTGTAATCAAGTGACAAAAGAGATTGAAGTGTTCTCCGATTGGTTTTTGAACCCTGACCAGGGGTATTCTATCTGCTACCCAAAATCCATAAACCTGGAAATCCTGGACGCACCTTCCTCTCAGGCATTAGCACCCTGACAGCAGGATTGGCTGGCTATGTAGACTCCCTCCTCAGGCCCTATGCTACCAGCACTCCCAGCTATCTTTGAGACACCACAGACTTCCTGAGGAAACTACAATCCATCGGTGATCTTCCTGATAACACCATCCTAACCACTATGGATGTAGAAACCCTCTACACCAACATTCCACACAAAGATGGACTACAAGCCATCAGGAACAGTATCCCCGATAATGTCACGGCAAACCTGGTAGCTGAACTTTGTGACTTTGTCCTCACCCATAACAATTTCACATTTAGGGACAATATATACCTTCAAATCAGCGGCACTGCTATGGGTACCCGCATGGCCCCACAGTATGCCAACATTTTTATGGCTGACTTAGAACAACTCTTCCTCAGCTCTCGTCCCCTAATGCCCCTACTCTACTTGCGCTACATTGATGACATCTTCATCATCTAGACCCATGGAAAAGAAGCCCTTGAGGAATTCCACCATGATTTCAACAATTTCCATCCTACCATCAACCTCAGCCTGGACCAGTCCACACAAAAGATCCACTTCCTGGACACTATGGTGCTAATAAGCGATGGTCACATAAACACCACCATATACCAGAAACCTACCGACTGCTATGCCTACCTACATGCCTCCAGCTTTCATCCAGACCACACCACACGATCCATTGTCTACAGCCAAGCTCTTCGATACAACCACATTTGCTCCAACCCCTCAGACAGAGACAAACACCTACAAGATCTCTATCAAGCATTCTTACAACTACAATACCCACCTGCTGAAGTGAAGAAACAGATTGACAGAGCCAGAAGAGTACCCAGAAGTCACCTACTACAGGACAGGCCCAGCAAAGAAAATAACAGAATGCCACTAGCCATCACCTTCAGCCCCCAACTAAAACCTCTCCAATGCATCATCAAAGATCTACAACCTATCCTGAAGGATGACCCATCACTCTCACAGATCTTGGGAGACAGGCAAGTCCTTTCTTACAGACAGCCCCCCAACCTGAAGCAAATACTCACCAGCAACCACACACCACACAACAGAACCACTAACCCAGGAACCTATCCTTGCAACAAAGCCCATTGCCAACTGTGTCCACATATCTATTCAGGGGACACCATCATAGGGCCTCATCACACCAGCCACACTCTCCTGCTGGTAATAGCTCACCTTACCTGATCACTCTCATTACAGTGTGTATGGTAAACACCCATTGTTTCATGTTCTCTATGTATATAAATCTCCCCACTGTATTGTCCACTGAATGCATCCGATGAAGTGAGCTGTAGCTCACGAAAGCTTATGCTCAAATAAATGTGTTAGACTCTAAGGTACCACAAGTACTCCTTTTCTTTTTGCGGATACAGACTAACATGGCTGCTCCTCTGAAACCTGTCATTTTTCTTTACACTTTTTCTTACAAGGCTATTTAAGGGTACTTAGCACTTTCAACTTCTGTGTTTCATGCATAATAAAGTCTTACAGGAACTTTCCAATTTTAACTGCCCTAAACAAAATATGTTGTTTGCAAATGTAAATTCTATGGCCCCAAGGAATCCCTCAGAGGCATAGACAGGGACCAAAAGAATAGGAGACCCATATTTTGCAGTGCAGAACATATTGTCAGTATGTTGTTCAGTATATTGAATATTGCATGGTAAATACTTAGTATCCCTGTTACAAATTTTCTATAGTAGTTAAAGGGAAAAATATAAGTAAAAATGCCCACAGAACTTTCACTTTCAGTAAGTACAAACATGCAAGAAAAATAGTAGTAGCAATGGATCCCTGAAAAAAAAAAACAGGAGTACTTGTGGCACCTTAGAGACTGACACATTTATTAGAGCATAAGCTTTCGTGGGCTACAGCTCACTTCATCAGATGCACAGAATGGAACATATAGTAAGAAGAGGTATATATACATACAGATAAGTTGGAAGTTGCCATGCAAACTGTGAGAGGCTAATTAGTTAAGATGAGCTATTATCATCTTATCTAATTAGCCTCTCACAGTTTGTATGGCAACTTCCAACTTATCTGTATGTATATATACCTCTTCTTACTATATGTTCCATTCTATGCATCCGATGAAGTGGGCTGTAGCCCACGAAAGCTTATGCTCTAATAAATTTGTTAGTCTCTAAGGTGCCACAAGGACTTCTGTTCTTTTTGCGGATACAGACTAACACGGCTGCTACTCTGAAAAATGGATCCCTGCACATCCTTGAAGGTAAAGAGAAACTCTAATTTAGAATAAAGATGTCCCCAGATAAAATCCCTGGAACTTTGGAGGAAATAGATTTGATATACCAAACCAGTTTTACAAATTGCCCAAGTCTATATAACAGGTTGGACCAATACCCCAGGTCCAAACAGCCCTAAATTATAAGGTATTTCAGATCCAGAGCTGGATCCCAGTTCTGTACATTGATCCCATTTTTAATCTAAAGCAGGGATCGGCAACCTTTGGTACGCGACCCATCAGGGAAATCTGCTGACGGGCCGGGACGGTTTGTTTACCTGCAGCATCCGCAGGTTCGGCCAATCGCAGCTCCCACTGGCCGCGGTTGGCCATTCCAGGCCAATGGGGGCTGTGGTAAGCGGCAGCCAGCACATCCCTCAGCCCATGCCGCTTCCCGCAGCCCCCATTGGCCTGGAATGGCCAACCACGGCCAGTGGGAGCTGCGATTGGCCGAACCTGCGGATGCTGCAGGTAAACAAACCATCCCAGCCCGTCAGCAGATTTCCCTGATGGGCCGCGTGCCAGTGGTTGCCGATCCCTGATCTAAAGTATCACTTTGTAATTAGAGTATAGTGTTGTTACATGGTAAAGTCCTGAATCTGAAGGAAGACTGGATTTGGAGATGTCATCAGCACAATTTGATTGCATTAGTGAAAGGTCCCAGGCATTAGTCATTTATCAAGCACCTGGCACACATTTGGGAACTGTACAAATAATAATTCATCATGGCCGTGTACCTCTCAATTTCCTGTTCCTTCTCTTCTGTGCCAACCACCTCCACCCACTATAATAGCTGCCCTACTGTGTCATCCCTAATACGTGCTACATGCAAATATATAGAGAGAGAGTTAGACATAAAATCCTATGTTATCATGTAATAGGGTCTTTTCTCAGAATTCTTTATTTCATTTTGCAACATTGTGTTTCAATGCATGGCATATTTACAGGACTGTTGAACAGTGATGTAAGGCTTGTGAAAACACAGAGGTAGCTAACTTCTTGAATACATAATACAAAAATATATATGATGATGTTTGTATAAGATAAGCACTCTTTAAAAACAAATGTCTTTCTTTCCATACTTTTTCATAGTCTGTCTATGGATTACAAAATGACATTCGAAGTCATAGTCCTACCCACACACCAGTACCAGAAACTAAGCCACCTACAGAAGACGAATTACACCAAGAGGTTTGAAAACAATTATAATAAACTTCTAAAATTAGAATAAAAAGTTACCATAACTGTCAAGTATATTTCTTTAACATTTAAATTAGATCAATTAAATGGTTAGAGGAAACAAAGTTTGAGAGTATATTTCTTCTCATCTCAGTACATGGAGATTTATGCATATAACTTTCATTAATGGTAATGGGAGTAGCACTAAATTTTTTTAGTCTTTATTAACAGTGTAAGGCTTTACCAATAATCCAGTTAGTGTGTTCTTTTTTAAATTAAATGCATTAGCCTTTCTTCAGTAACCAGGTCACTCATTCTCTCTTCCAACACTCCACTATACGGTTTGAGAGCATAGTTGTATCTCAGTGTATGTAGATTTACTCACATATTGCCATTAAAGTTTCATAAATCTTTCCCAGAGCAATAGAAGTGGTAAAAGGTGAGTGGGAACAATTAATGGGTTTCTCTGTAAAAATTAAAATACTAATTAGATTTATATTGATGAACCTTTAGGAAAAAATGTTATACTTGTCCATTTTTAGCTATGTATAATGTCTTGTATTTATAGAGTTCCATCTATTTTAAAAATATTATGATAATATGTCATTATAGCTCAGATACACTTCTCTGTGACTTAGAAAAAATTAAATCTACATTGTAGTCCTAATAAAAAGTTCTAAAAATAAAACCAAGCAAGACATTACTCATGCCACTTTTTGCCTTCACTTTTTCAGATAAAATATTGGCAAATACAGTTAGACAGACATCGGTTAAAAATGTCAAAAGTTGCAGAGAGGTACGTATATTGTCACATTTTCTATTTTTGAAATGGTCTAAGAAGTATCTAGAAAATATCTGTGAGGAGGAGACAAGGGAGTTGGGATGTTTATTCAACTTGACTGAAGACAGTTTACTTTATGTGAGCAATGAAGGCATGTCTATTTTCTGATTCGCTAATATGGTATGATTTAATGCCATTTCTCTCAGTTCAGTGAAACAGAAAAAAAGTGCTGAATTTAGAAGAAAGCTGTGGCCTGATCATGTAACTGCTTTGTACACTAAGCTCCCTGACATTGCCTACCCTAGGAAAATCTGTTTTTTAGGACCAGTGTGGAGAAAAGGCTACAAAATTCCTAATGTAGATGTAACCTACTGGTTATTGTATGTTGCATATGTTTATCTGTACCCTATGTACAGAGGCTGTGTCTGTTACAGCTCTACAGTATAGAGCCTGGCTCTTTAGCTTCATTAGAGTATCTCTTATTTTCAGCTATGGAAGCCCCTAGTTCAGCCCCTGGTATTGGCCAAATTGGTGGCCATCTCACAAACTCCTGTTGAAGTCATCGGGTACCACCGCTGGTGTTGATGATTTTTTGTGGGCCTGAAAGACATTTTTGCACCAGGACATTGTACTAAGTTCATTCCCGAGAAATTTTTAAAAAAATGACCCGTTTCATTCTCTCCCCCCCGGCACCACCACCATCATTAACTGACTCTTATCCTGCATGTTCTTACCCCACCCTGAATTAATATGACTGAACAACCCAGTTTTTATAAACAAATAGGGCAACTATATCTCCCAGAAAGCCAGAATTATCCTTATTTTCAGAACTGGTGCCTGTTTTAGAGAAACCAGAGTTTGCCCTGTTTTTTTGTAATTTTTCCAACCCCCTGTAGTCTGGCCACCCGAATGAGCCATTGCACTGCAGAGTTGGTGAATCAGGCCGTAGGCTGAGTGACAGCACCTATGCAGCTCAGGGACCTATCCCCAGATCTGTTGTACAATAATGTTGCCACTTTGCCTCAATTAAGCCTCCCAGTGAGCTTCCCTTCCAGTTCAGCCCTCCCCGACTCAGAGTCAGATCTACTTAATTAGTTTTTTTATTTCAGCTTCTCTCTGTTGCCTTATTTCAATCTCTTTGCACTTCAGTTGCCTCATCTATAAAATGAGGCTGAAACCTGATTCATGGGGTGCATGTTAGACTTTATTAATTAATCCATTTGGAATTCTTCAGTGAAATTCCATGCAGAAATGTTTAGAAGTATTAATAAAGCTTGCCGTTTATTTTATTTCAGCCCTTGATAAAATAGGAAGCAGTATCCCACCACCACCAGAGTTTACTTTTGAAAAACAGGTTTCTGATCATAAAGCTCGTTAACATGACAATGTTTGATGGTTTTGTTTTTTTTAGTCTGTTAGCTTACACAGAGCAGTATGTGGAATATGATCCATTTCTTGTGCCACCTGACCCCTCTAACCCTTGGCTATCAGATGACACTACATTCTGGGAACTAGAGGTCTGGTATGTTATTTCTTCCTTCTTTTCCGATTAATAATGTATGTAGCAATAATTTCTGTCTTTGTTTGAAATGTGCAGATTTCCACCATACATTCTGCAGCACAGTACTGAGGCAGATAGGAAATGAGATTACCATGCATACCAATTTGCTCTTGGTCTTTTCAGCTGTACAGTTTCCTGTTATTTTGAATGGATTCATATACCTGCATGAAAAACTGCAGGGTCCACAATGGCCAATATACAGGGTTCCACTGGGAAGGGGGATGAAAAGGGGAGCCCCATATGTGTGTGTGTGTATACACATACACGTGCACTCCTATGCTACATTGATTAAGCACTGACAGTGTGCTTGGCACCGACCATTAAATCTCTGTATAACAACACCATACAAGCACAAGTGACTTGGAAGGTGAGAAACCTGTAGCTGAACTTTAGGAGTTCCCATCATTACTTGCATATACAACACTACCACGTGCTAGCTCAGTCTGTGACTACTTTTTTTCTTGCCCCCAGCAAAGAGCCAGGGCAACAGAGGGTAAAGCGATGGGGCTTTGGCATGGATGAAGCATTGAAGGACACAGTGGGGAGAGAGCAGTTTCTCAAGTTCCTGGAGTCAGAGTTCAGCTCTGAAAATTTAAGGTGAAGCGGAAGAGTTGTTATCTTTTAACAACAGCTAAGAAATGTTTTGTGTGTCTGTTGCCATTCTTTTATATTTATTTTCTCCCTTATAGATATAGTCCCATTTCTGCTCCTTAAGGGTCCAAACCTACGAGGTATCGCAGGCCCTCATTTTCCGATGGCTTTGGGTGTTCATGGTGCTCAGGCCAACACCAACAAAGATGTAAATAGTCTGTATCCCTAAACACACTATTTTGGTCATGCCCAGTTTCTAGAGAGATCCTTTTTCAAATCATCATATTACATGTCTCAGAAACACTGACCAACCACAGGGCATTTGGTATCTTTTAATATATACAGCATTATAAGGACAGTAAACTTACAGTGGGAAATTTTCAAATGCAACTAAGGGATTTAGGAGCAAAAATCCCATGGATGTTTGCTCCTAAATGTCTTAGCTGCTTTTGAAAATCTCCCCCACAGTGGTTAAAAAGAACAATAAAATGCTCTTAACTCTTAGTGTAAGGTTAAACATGGTATGACTGATGTGACTTGCTCCTGTCATGCAAGTTTTTTAAAAGCTTGTAAATCCCCAAGAAACTTCTCTTCAAAAATGACATAATAAAGGTGCTGTGTATGTGTAGGACAACTTGTCAAATCTAAAATTTTCTAGTTTAAAACAAGATCTCTTTAAGCAATGAACAGAAAAGGCCTATTTCACAGTATAGAATTATAGCCAAACCACTGGCAAAAGCCATTTTTGGTTGTTGCTGTGCCAATGAAGCTGTATTAAAACCATATGCATGTGAGAAGAACTTAACAATGAATATTAATTTTTGCTTTTCTATGACCAAAAAAAGTGAATTTTGTTTCTCAAAGGTATGTACATCAAAACCTCATCCCCATACTAAGTTCTTGTGCTTTCACCCACACATCACTTTTCATTGCCCAGCTGTGACTCCCTTAAAAATGGGATTCACCAGACACCTAAGCATTATGGAGAGAGAGCCTGGTCTAGTGTAAAAGCCCTATTTTGAAAGATGCCAAGCACCCTCAGTTTCTAGAGATGAGAGTATATAGCACTGAAGTTATTCCAAATTTACACCAGAGTAACTGGGAGCAGATTATGCCATGCTATTGGGCATTGTTTTACCATACTGTATTTAACATATTCACAGTTTGGCGATCTGCAACATTAAATTTGGATTTAATGTGTTAATACAGGAAAACCCTTATCTAGACAAGTTATGGAACAATTTTGGATCAGATATATACATGAAATATTCTGGACCCTATCCTTTTCTCAGCTGTTGTTTTGCATTGATTTCAAAGGGAATAAGATCTGGGTCAATGGGTGTTTGCTAAATAACATGTTACTTGTAGGTGGCAATTTCTGAATTAAAAAAGCTAAGCGATAATTAAAGGGCAAACCTTTTATCAGCCTGGTACAAAGGAATGGGAAGGGTTTTTTTTTATTTATTTAAAAAATGTCCCAGTAAGGCAGCTGTTCAAACATGAACCTGTTCGACCTAGCATATGCTATGTTTTCTACACTTTTCTATAACTATTTTGTCTTGCTGCCAACCAGACTGTTACCACATAATCCCAGGCTCTTTCCTCTAATCCTATTTACAGTCACAGGCAAACTGCAAGTGACTGATCCAGCAAAATACCCTAGAGGATTTTGTTTGGAGCTAATTTCTCAATGTGCCGTCTACCATTATATCTATCTATCTAGGTTCCTATATTGGCGTAATAAAGCATAATATCTGAGCGGTGATGGGTGCCAAATAAAAAGCTATGCCTGTGATATGTTAGAGAGCACTCATTTTAAAGTCTCATATGTATGAGACTCAAAATGCCACCGATTGCAGTGATATAAATAACATCTATTTCTGACATAGTAATTCCATGCACAATGAGGCAAAAAGTACCTGTTGATGCACAATGGCACACCTAAAAGTGTCAGCATCTTTCCAAATGCCATCACAACTCAGTTTTGATTTCTTTAAATTTAAGAGCACCTATCTGCTTACACAGCTATTAACCACATAGCAATAGAATTTGTAGTTTGGGGGATTTGACAGCATCTTTCTAATACTGTGCAAAGGGGATTTGCTTCCATCAACAGCTCCTCAGCTTAGGAACATGACTAACATAACTTCACATCCATGTTTATTAGGTGTCATCCCATTGCAGATTTGACCATGACTGAATTTAAAACAAGTGTCATCAAAACTAGAGGAGTAGCAAACAGATGGGACTATAGTAGCAAGCTGTGAAATGTCCTGTAGAAAATACAGCATCAGGCTTCAGGCAGTAAGGAAACATTCACTCCTAATCAATGTAAAGCCCTGTGCCCATGTCAATGGAAGAAATGGAGGAGATATAAAAAGAGACTGTAATCAAGGAGCCACACCAATTACATGAAACCGTGTTTATTTTCATGGTTATATCATTAATACTCTCAATATGACTGTTTTCATGCTCTTGAGTTGAGAAGTGTGGAATCAGGATTGGTACTGGGAGTGAAAATGGTCCACACTAGATTCTTTCTGAAGGAGTGCAACCCAATGTGAAGAAATTTGAAGCAGGGGACTGAAACTGAGAGGAAGGATAGTTCAGTGGCTAGGATGCTAGCCTGGGATGTAGGTTCAACAGAGGTAGGTTCAGTTTCCTGCTTAGACACGTACTGTGTGACTCAGGCAAGTTAATTAGTGTCTCTGTGCTTTGGTTCCCTATTTGTAAAATGGGAGCAATATTACGTCCCTACCTCATGGGGGTGTGAAGATAAATAATTAAAGACTGTGAGGTACTCAGCTACTACTGTAATGGGGTGGGGAAGCCATGTCAGCACCATAAATTGATAAATTATAATACTGTACTTCTTGGGTAAAGAGGCAGTTCAGCTGGATGAGAGACATCCCTAGTCAATGTAACTACTGGTTGATCCCCCTTGCTCTTCATTCAGCTAATATTTCTTGGAAAAAGGCTGCTCAGGGGTGTTAGTACTGTAGCTTCAGTACAGGACATGGGATTCTGAGTGGAACATTTAACTCAGAAGGCTCACAGAACTGCTCCTCCATGCATCAAGTGGATACTATTACACCCTGCTTAGTAATCATCTACTGAGAGCAAGTCCTTTTGGAAGCACTGCTTTATGCTTGGTTCACTGGGAAGCCAAATATTACAGTAACACAAGAGATGAGAGTATCATTTTTGCAAAGTTCCTAGCTCCTGTTAGGAAGCAAAGAACTATATTTTAAAGGTTTCAGAATAGCAGCCATGTTAGTCTGTATCCGCAAAAAGAACAGGAGTACTTGTGGCACCTTAGAGACTAACAAATTTATTAGAGCATAAGCTTTCGTGGGCTACAGCCCACTTCATCGGATGCATAAAATGGAACATATAGTAAGAAGATATATATATACATACAGAGAAGGTGGAAGTTGCCATACAAACTGTGAGAGGCTAATTAGTTAAGATGAGCTATTATCAGCAGGAGAAAAAAAAACTTCTGTAGTGATAATCAAAATGGCCCATTTAGACAGTTGACAAGAAGGTATGAGGATACTTAACGTAAGGAAATAGATTCAAAATGTGTAATGACCCAGACACTCCCCGTCTCTATTCAAACCCAAGTTAATGGTATCTAGTTTGCATATTAATTCAAGCTCAGCAGTTTCTCGTTGGAGTCTGTTTTTGAAGCTTTTCTGTTGCAAAATTACCACCCTTAAATCTTTTACTGAGTGGCCAGAGAGGTTGAAGCGTTCTCCTACCGGTTTTTGAATGTTATGATTCCTGATGTCAGATTTGTGTCCATTTCTTCTTTTGCATAGAGACTGTCCGGTTTGGCCAATGTTCATGGCAGAGAGGCATTGCTGGCACATAATGCTGTATATCACATTGGTAGATGTGCAGGTGAACGAGCCCTTGATGGCATGGCTAATGTGATTAGGTCCTATGATGGTGTCACTTGAATAAATATGTGGATAGAGTTGGCATCGGACTTTGTTGCAAGGATAGGTTCCTGGTTAGAGTTTTTGTTGTTGTGTGGTATGTGGTTGCTGGAGAGTATTTGCTTCAGGTTGGGGGGCTGTCTGTAAGTTTTAGTGTGATCCAGTACTGCCTAGATCAGTTGGTTGTCCAGGCACTGTGGGATATTCAAAGGAGCTCATGGGATTGAGGCACTTCGTTCCCATTGAAATATGAGAGTTAGACACCTAACTTCCTTAGTCTCCCTTGAAAATGCCAGCCTCTCTCCTTATGTGATCCTTGCCATGTCTATGTATCACTGAGGTCTCTGAACAGTGAGTATTTATATGTTGTCTGCCTATTAGTTTCCAGGTGGAGGTTGTTATTGATTTCAAACTATAAAGACCTAAATGGTTTTGAGTCTTGCCTAGATGACAGACCATCTTTCTCCCTATGTGATACTGCAGCAGCTGTGTGCTCAACAGAGGTACTTGTGCTAAAAACAGTCCAAAGGGTTAAAAAGGAAGGAAAAGTGGCAGGGCATCTACTGAAATGTGCCCTTCTCCTTGATCAGATAGACCTTGGATTTGTTAACTTCTTAAGATGCTGGAAAGCTCGAGGGAGAGAAGAGTTCTGGGTGCTTGGTAGTGTGTATATATGGGGGGGGGGGGAAGCGGGGGTTAGAGAGTGGTCAGATATGGGGTTAGCATGCTGGACAAATATTCTAGTTTCAGCAAGCCAGTGTGCACTGGAATTTTGTGTGGGGTTTATTTTTGTAATCACACACCGTACTTGTTGTAAAAATGTCTAGCACCAGGGATAGACGCTTCAGATTCATCCTTTCAATAAATAAGTCAAATAATTGTATACAGCTCAGTGGTGTGAAACACAGACTATATCAGCCTTATGTCTGAATGGTCATACTTTTGTTTACTTTATCTGAAAGAATATATGCACATATTGTAGTTTAATTATACCACAATAAAATGATTTGATTGGTGGAAGAGGGAATGATACAGGAGATAGGCATATTGGTTTTGATTGCT